AAGGATATCACCGATTGCCAATCGGAGATATGTACCTTCGAAAATAAGCTGGAGATTCTCAAAAACCAAGCTCTGTTGTTTTCGATAGTGAACAATTTGGACGAGAACGAGGTTATGGAGAAATTCAAACTCTTGAATGTTGAGAACGAAGCCAAAGACACAACTTGAGGTTCTCACTACAATCGAGAGAGTTGTTTTCCGTTCCTTATGATTTAGTTTGATAGTATTATTTGACATGATGTTTGGAGAGTTTTGTAAATAGAGATTTTTGTTTTGTATAGGTACTTCGTTTTTCCTCTCTCATTTGGTTAAAAGATTTTGTGCTCAGATGCAGTGGTAACACAAAGACTGATGGAAAAACAGTTTACATAAGATTTCTGGAAACGCCTACTCAGTTTTTGATATCATACAGCATATGTTTCTAGTGTGTTCCGTAACAGTGATAGAAAATAAGAAGAGCTAAACCTCTAGAAAACTTTTTTCCTGGAACTGAAATTGGATTCAAGACAGGAAAAAGGTGTTGAAAAGACAGTGAGATAGTGAACGATTTTTTTGTAGCATCAACTTAGTGAGTGCTGAAATGAAAATCAAGAAACCAAAAGGTATGTTTTTACAATATTTCTACTACATGTTGATCAATTTTATATTCATGTCTTCAAAACTTTTGGCTGCATAGTTTTTTTCTAGAAAATAATTAATTTATATAATGCAATTCAAAGTTTGCCAAACTCTGATGATGAATTTTTCTATTGTTTGATCACCAAAGTGCTATGTATCAAAACAAATGACAGAGTGTCAGAAAGCAGAAAAAATAGTAACATTTTTAGTTTTCAATGGAACACCCTATTTATTTTTGCACAGTTCTTGCCATATTGGACCTTGAAAATTGTCTAATTTTGAAACATTTTTCTCACCATACCGCTATTCTATTCGGAGGTCTTGTTATCAATGCAAAATAATATAGTCAATCAATAAATAGTCTTTTTTAATCAAACATTTCTACAAATCTATATAAATCTACTACTTAACAAGGGGAAGCTTTCGTGACTGTTCTATAATAATATTCTTGGAAATATTAGTGGGATGCAGTCTGGACCAATGGATTAATTAAATTTCTTCGTTATTTGTCGAGCTTTCGAAAATTTTTATTTTCTTTATCAAGACTAACTGAAAACATCGAATGGAACAATATATAAATGTACATCAATTGAAATTGGTATACTTACAAACATGAAATTCTATATAAAATTAGCACAAAAAGGAAACATAGGTGTATAAATAAAATGAAATGATTTGACAAAAAAATGTCATAGATGATGGTTGACTCATTTGAAGATGTTGAATACAGAGTGAGATAAATACTGATATATATAAAAATACTGATATATAAAAAATGTTTGTAGATTATATATAAAACATGAATCATTCAAGGAGGACGAGTTGATTTATTATCTTTTTGTTTCTTTAGAAGGAATGTATAAATGGTACTAAGATCGTTGATGTCTGTTCTTTTGTTCATCGTTTTATCATGAAAATGATAAAACGATGAACAAAAGAACAGACATCAACGATCTTAGTACCATTTATACATTCCTTCTAAAGAAACAAAAAGATAATAAATCAACTCGTCCTCCTTGAAAGATTCATGTTTTATATATAATCTACAAACATTTTTTATATATCAGTATTTTTATATATATCAGTATTTATCTCACTCTGTATTCAACATCTTCAAATGAGTCAACCATCATCTATGACATTTTTTTGTCAAATCATTTCATTTTATTTATACACCTATGTTTCCTTTTTGTGCTAATTTTATATAGAATTTCATGTTTGTAAGTATACCAATTTCAATTGATGTACATTTATATATTGTTCCATTCGATGTTTTCAGTTAGTCTTGATAAAGAAAATAAAAATTTTCGAAAGCTCGACAAATAACGAAGAAATTTAATTAATCCATTGGTCCAGACTGCATCCCACTAATATTTCCAAGAATATAAATCTACTACTGAATTGTTTTTTTTTGTTATCGTCGATAAGCCATAAATTAGGTACCTACTGTCAAATAGGAAAGGAAGAGTAAATGAGTGCGTAAAAATGTAAAACATTCCTATGATGATATATTGGATATAAAGACTGACTAGATTCATCTAGGAGTATCTTCATTCAAATTTTGCTTGTTAGTATCATGTCATATACAGGGTGAGTCATTAGTGTGGCAAAGTGAGATAACGGCTTTACTGTTTGAGATATATGAACAAAAATTTCAGAGATGATCTAGGATCATGAGCAGCAGATTTCCAAATTATTTCTCTTTATACAGGGTGACTCAGAAATGCGTGGCGTATCAAAGTTATACTTTTTTCTTATAGGACACCCTGTATTTCATTGAATTTTCGCATTCTCCTTTTTGAGCTGATTTCATCAATGCATCACACTTGAGGTCTAGCGAGAATGATAACAGTGATATAGGGTGTTCAAAATCGAGATTTTTCAACTGTAGGATTTTTTTGCGTCGAAACTATTCATTATTGGTCAAAACGACTTTCATGTCCCTATCTCAACTTTTGATTTACTATCTACTGACATTTATTTGAAACAAATACAGGGTGGTTCAAAATTCAGCATTCTGATCACCCTTGTATCTGTTCCAATTGAATGTCTGTGGATAGTAAATCAAAAGTTTGGATAGGGACATGAAAGCCGTTTTGACCAATAATGAATAGTTTCGACGCAAAAAAATCCTAAAGTTGAAAAATCTCGATTTTGAACACCCTATATCTCTGTAATCATTCTCGCTAGACCCCAAGTGTGATGCATTGATGAAATCAGCTCACAAAGGAGAATGCGAAAATGCAATGAAATACAGGGTGCCCCATAAGAAGAATTATAACTTTGATACGTCACGCATTTCTGAGTCACCCTGTATAAAGCGAAATAATTTGTAAATGTGCTGCTCAGGATCCTAGTTCATCTCTGGAATTTTTGTTCATCTATCTCAAACAGTAAAGCCGTTATCTCACTTTGCCACACTAATGACTCACCCTTTATATCTATGTTCTCTTTTCCTCGATAAAAGAGAAAAAGCCTCAGATGAACTTGTGTTATATCCTAGTTACATAATATCAACCAGATTGGATCAAAATTGAAAAATGTATTCCATTCCAGCTGTAAGGAAACATTTATTGAAAATTGTGCGTTTTTGTATATCCGTTCATCTGAACTTCAGTAATGATTTGTATACAGGGTGGTAGAAAATTTTCAAATACAGAGGGGTCATTACATTTCCATTTCTAGAAATGATATTAAATATTTGAGACGTTTCAACCACTATTGTACTAAACAATTTTTCATTATCTTCAAAAACTAATTAATCAAATGAGTTCCATTTCAAGAAGATCACTCTGTTGTTATATGTTGGCTACATATGTGAAACTTTTTTATATTATTGATTTCACGGAAAAAGTTGATCTTCATAAAAAATTCTGCATGGCCTGAAACCGAAAATGCAAATATCAAATATCTATTTTTTTTTTCAGTCGTGTAAGAGGTATGTCAAAAAATATTAATTTAGTCCAATCAAATGGTATTTTCACTTGGAAAAAATTCAAGTAGTTGGTTTCTCAGTGATTCCATATGTTTTCAGACTCGGACTTTTCGGTTTTTTGTCCGTAACTCGGAAATTATAAGTTATATCTAGAAGACTGCTTCATAAAAAGTTGAAGTGAACAAAATTTTCTAAATATAATTGTCATTGCTTATAAATGTTGGACTAACGAGTGCGGAGATAGAGTCAGTTGACCAATTTTGCGTACTTTTAAAAAAGTAGCGTTTTTCGTCGGTTTTGGCAGATAATTCCAAATCTACGCATTCTTCGAAGAAACGAACTATATTGCCTGATGTGGAAGAGTCCTAGCCATGTGAATTCTTACCTCTGTTAGCATGTAACACATGACTCTCGACTTGTCACTGTACTTAGTATATTCACATCAACTAGGAAGAATATTGTTTTTCTTACCTGTCTCTTGTTATTTGTTAACGGAGTAGAAAAATCAAGTTTCCTAGCAACGAATATCAGATATGTCAGACATTTGAAGAAAATATTTAGGAGAGTTAAGCTTTGGCTCTTGTTTGCTGAAACTCATTAGCTTACCTTACCTTCTCGTTTACCTGGAGTTGCTCAACAGTAGTAAGGTTTTTCACTTCATTCTCATTTTCTGAGCTCTGTGATAAGGTGGCATTTGCTTGTCTCACAGAAAGGTAAAATGTGAGCTCTGCACTTTTTTGCTAGGCGATCAGCTGCCTCATTCCCTTGACGTCTTGGAACCCACATGAGCGAGAATTGATTCTAATACTTATTCATCACAAAATAGGTAGTTTTGATACTTTGTACCCAAATTTGTTCAATTTTCAACTGGCTCTAACTCCGCACCCTTCAGTCCAACATTCATATGTAAGAAAAATGTTATCTAGGAAATTTTATCTACTTCAACTTTTTATAGGGCAGTCTTCACGATATATCTCGTAACGCTCCAGGAAATTTTGTTTGCAAAATTCAGATTCAAATTCTTCACCTGCAATAACATATAAAACCACAGAGAAACCAACTACTCGAATTTTTTCCCAGATTGGGCCCTAATCGTTACCGTTTTACTGAGCTAATTATCAAAATATCGAAAATTATTATAGAAAAAAGATTCTGAATTCCCATAAAAACTACTTCTTTTTTTTGCCCATTTGGACGTTTCTCTAAAACCAATATTAACTGAGATTGTTATTGAGTGAAATATAAACAATCACCCTGTACCATATTTCTATCATGAATTCATGCATTCATTGATTTATTGCATTGTGGACAATGTGGTGTTATTTTTCTTGAAAACTTTCGCAATAATAAGGCCCTCGCTAGTGATCCCACAATATATAAAAAACAAGCAACACACAAATATAAACATATACAAACAAAATATAGCCATGATGGCTAATTGATGACGTCAGTCGGAAGAGTCATCGCTCAAGGTAGCTGTCGATTGTCTATCGAATTTCTTATCCCTCCCCTTCGCGCGTTCCTTGTTCCTGTCCTTCTCGCCTCTTCTCTCTCTATCGCGACTCCGATCTCGCCTCTCTCTCCTGATCTCGTCTTCTTCCACATAGTTGGCATCGCTCTCTTCTGACACTGTTTCGTCTATTTTTCGTCTGCCTGTCGTTTCTCTGTCTGTTCTGCGTAGCTTTTGCTTCATCATCCTCCTGGACTCGGGGTCCTGGTTTTCTGAGCCGTTGGAGACTGTCGAGGTGTTGGATCTCTTCGACTGGGTTTTAGGGAGGTTGTTTCTGGTGCTGGTTTGGGTGGTTTGGGAGCTGGCGGTCGAGTAGCCGGTGTCTTTTCGGGAATTCAAGTTTTTTCTATGGAAAAACAGAAGACAGTTTGCTCGTGAGACGGGGAGGTGTACTGAGATACAAAAGTTTATAGGGTATCCTAAATAACATTCTAGTAAACTAGATATAGAATGCGGAGTACCTCAGGGATCAATTCTGGGGCCGGTACTGTTTCTGATTTACATTAATGATCTGGTTCGCTTCTTTCCTCTCTTTATTTGCAGACGACACCAACATAATAATAGATACGATGTCTGAATGATCTTATCGACTGGTTTTCGTCTGATAAATTATTACTTAATCAAAATAAGACACATATTATGTTATTCCAGCCATCTCAATCGTCAACAAAATTCAATATCAAGACAGACAACGGAACGATAACTAGTGTAGACTAGGTTCCCTTGATGCCAACTGACGTATTTGTCATCTAACAAGGTACGGACAGATCATAGCTCATGAACATAATATATGACATATGAGCACATTAGCCTCACAAAGATAATGCTGGAGTTGAAAAATCAAAAACTCGAAAATTATCATCATCATTTGGATATAATATGTGGAGTTGAATAAGAAATCACATGTGGAAATTACGTATGATACGCCAATGTCCTCAATATAACCTGAAAAACAACAAATGTCAGAAATCTAGTGTTTATCTCCAGAAATTAATAAAGATGAAACTATATAACTGTTTCACAAACACTTTAGAGTGAGAGGAGACGAGGATCTGTCCGTACCCTGTTAAGATGAGAAATACGCCAATTTACATCAAGGGACCCTAGTGTAGACCATATCAAAGATTCTGGGGATAGAAATAGACTGTAATTCAAAGTGGAATCATCATATATCTGAATCAAATGAAATACTTTCTTCTCAAGTGGAATACCGTGAATTTCATTACGTCCTTAGATAGAGCTCAGAAAGGCGAGTTCAATGATATATGATAACATGAGTCTGAGAACACCCCTATTCCAATGGTAAAATAAATGTGAAAAACTATTTCAATCCTTTTTGAACAAATGAGAAAAGTGAGGTTGTTTTACCTCCAGGATCGGTCATCTGTCAACGCGACCTATTGATGAAATAAAATGTCTTACTATTATCACTAACCTAGTTGGTCTACTGACGTTGCCACTTTCATCACTATCGTTACCGTTGGAGTCTTCGCTTCTCCTCGTGCTCGTAGTATCGTGTCTTGCCACTCTATTCGACGGTCGTCTTCTTCTTCTAGGTTCGAACGTGAGGTCATTCCTCGAAATTGAGGAGATTATCGATATGTTCGACATCATCTCGACGTCACTGGTCCTTCATGCCGACAAAAACCTTCATGTTAGCAACGTGTTGATTCAACGATAAATTAACACATTATTTTAATGTCGAAAAAATGCAGCCCCAGTAGGAATCATCTCAAGGACAGTTCCAGGAAAGGAACTGGATTGGGAACAACGGGTAATCATCTCACCCAATATGCATATTCGGTGAATGAGACCAATAAAACCAATATTGTTCTTCTGCTATTCTTCTAGAGTTCTACAATTTCGGGCCTGAGCTTCAGAGTAGACAACATCAGTAATCACAATGAGAGAAGCTCAAGTAGTAGTATTGTGGGGAGGCTGTAGCCAGGCAAGTAGGCCCCCATGGACCCTTCTTGCCAACCCCTACTCTCCACATATCTACACATCCCTCTTTTAGTTGTCCTTTTCGAACCTTCCCGTCCTTCTGATGAAGGTCAGGATGTCCGTCCACTCTAATTCGGCCAAATCTTCCTGTTGTAGTTTATCTACTCCAAAGATTTCGAATCTCATCCTTCCATACGCCTCACACTCTCCGAGGAAGTGAAGTGATGTCTCCTCATCTTCTCCGCATTCAAGGCAAGTGGAACTATCTTCCACACCTATGTCTGCGTAACCTGTTGTGCCCTGTCAGTACCCCTATAAGAAGGCGCAGGACTTGGCGATCCCTGCCCAGTAACCAAGCCGTCTTTGGCTTGCTTGGACCGGCCACCAGGTCTCTCGATTGCCTGCAGCCACCTATACGCCTCCAATATCCTTCTAGTGCCTCCTCCGCCCATTTGTTAAGGGCAGACGAAGTTTGGCTTCTTGTTATGCCCAGTGCAGGCTCCGGTCCCCAGAACGGTGTCGCGGGTCCGATTCTAGCCAGCTCATCGGCCACCTCGTTCCCGTGCACCCCCCCGTGACCCGGAACCCATACTAGTTCGACTTCCTTCTGTTCAGCTAGTTTCTCAAGAGCATCGCCACATTCCTGCACCGAAGCTGAGCTTGATTCAGGATGGTAGTAATTACTAAATTATACTCGAAATCATCTCCACGACATTTCAATATGATCAAACGACCAAATCAATTGGTACATGTTTCGGTCATTTATATGTCCACCTTCAGCCTAATCAATAGCTACATTGAGTGTGTCGTGGGAATGAATAAAAAAATACTGAGATGAATTATTCAGAAATGCCAAATCAGGAAGAATTTTTATCTGGAGGTTTGGAGATCGATTCATTGAACAGCCATAACAAATAAAATGATCGTATCACCTGGTGCTTTTTTTGTGGGTCTCCGTGTAGACCACATAGAGTCTGTAGATCTGCAAAGTGATGACCAGCGTATTCTTGCACGTGAAGAAAATATTCATGTAAGTGATGATCTTATAGTGAGCGATGAGTAGAAGCCTGAACGCTAGAAAGGGAGCATCTTGAAGAGTGATGTTGAGGATAATGCCGCAGACATCGATGGTACAGCATCCATCAGACCTAGAAAATATTTGTATAATAGGTAAGGTTTTTTCTTTGACTCTTTCGAAATAAACCAGTGCTGAAGCCTTTGAAAGCAGTAAAAAGTAAACAAAAATTATAGTAGCATGATACCCATTTGGAAAGAATTGAATTTAACAAAGATGATAGGGAATAGTACATTATACATCTACGAAAAAAAGTCGAGAAATTTAAAAACACCCTAGAGATTTAAAGTAATGCAATAAAATCTAAATTTAGAAATGTATTTTCACAATGTCTCAAATGTCTGTTGCAATTGTCGCTTTTATCATCGAATATTCGCACCACAATGACGATGCTTAAAGCTTTCTTGTCTTTTCCAAGAACTTCTTCTTCTATACATTTTTGTACTTTACGTTCTTCGCACCATTTGCTAAACTCAGATAACTGGATTTCATATTGTTCTCCGGATTTTCTTGGTAATAATTGGCCTTCAGCTTCTTGAGCTGCCTGTTCGATTTGTTCCATCCAGTCTTTCAATCGGTGTGGCGTGTTTGACTAATATTTATTCATTTATGTTTTACTTTATTACTATTATCAGATATCAGAACAGTAAACAATATAAATATAAATAAATTGCTGAAACGACCAAGATTATGTAGTACCTACTCGTTTTTGTCCTACAATGTTTCGTTGAAACATTCGCGTGAGCCGCTTTTTTCTTCATCATCCTCTCCACTTTTTTCGACATGGATTCAATGGTGGGAGAACCTTCGTTCGAACTTTCCTTGGAAGACAACCTGATACTTTTTCGAGACTTGACAGTCTGATGGTTTGGTGGCGAATCGAACGATGACACGTCTTGTACCACTGACATATCAGATATATCATGCAGAATGGTATGAAGGATGATCTCAGTGGAAGAATTCATTTCTTCAGAAAGCTTTCTACCATTTCTTGTATTTCTTCTAACTCTAGTGAGCCTTTCGATCTTTTCTTGATTGTTCAGAGCAGTACTCTTGTCTTCAACTCCATTACGGTCCTGAGATTTCACATTGTTGATTCCATCATTCGCATTCGAGGTTCTCTTCGAAGAAAACAACTCATCATTTCCATCGTTTTCATTCGACAGCACTCCATCTAAATTCGACCTTCTTGCTTCAGAATCGTTGCTATCAATCGTACTGTTGCTTCTCCGACCTTTGTTCCGCGCCCTTGCAACCTTCTGCTCGTAGAAGAGGATGTATGCTTCTCCATTCACAATAGATTCAGATGATTTCTGTGAAACAATCGAGTCATTCTACTCGTTCCATAAGTCAGTGGTCGGGTGTTCACAATATGATGTATAGTGTCCAGACAAAGTTGTTCCACTATGATTAGATACAGCATATAGATGATATCTACAAGGGATTTTATCATTTGCTGCATAATTACCCATATCTGGAAACTCTGACCACACCCTCATCTCCACAACCTGCTCATTCCATGTACCATCCAGCACCACAATTCCTACCCGTCTCATGTGGCATTACAATTCGGCCGACTGGGAAGGTCTTCGTATGTTTTATTCAGCGTTTCCATGGAAGAGAGTTTGTTTCTCCTCAGCAGATCCAACACGATGTGCTGAGACAATTTCTGAGATCATCATGTTGGGAATGCAAACCTACATACCGAACACTGCAAGGAGAACATCTTCCGTTAAGGCCTGGTTCAGTGGAAACTGCTCTAGAGCAGACAATTCGTCATCAAAGGATGCTCATAATGTCAAAATAAGATCAAAACTTGTTGAATGTCCTAACGGATCCCGTTCATTTTGGTCATTCGCCAAAGCTGTAGGAAGAAACTTCACTTCCAGCTCGTTTCCTCCTTTAACCAAGGAAGATGGAACACTAGCCACAACTGCCCAGGAGAAAGCCAACATTTTGCGCATTTATTTGCTGGAAATTCCACTCTGGATACATCGGGAAAACAACCTTCAAACATAATACCAATGGGCTTATATCACAAAAAAAATTTATTCCATAATTCGATTAGAACTCACCCAAACTATCTCACCACAGCAAACCGTTTATCGCTGTGAGCTCCCTACGTTTTATAAAAAATTATTGAAATCCCCGATTTTTCGGACCTCTGAAAACGAGGCGATGATGTGACGTCAAAACCCTAATACTGAAACAGGACTATTCCAGACAAAGATGAATGACACATGATTTCTGGCAGAGTGAATTAGCGCGAGATAACAGTTGAAAGAATTAATATATCAGTTGCCTCAGTCTCCGTCCGGCGTTTGGTATTTTCTTTTAACTATGGCGAGATGAGGTTTCTACGTCATAAGAGGGTCCGTTTTCAGATGGTACTATTATTTATGTTCAAAAATTGAACATTCCAGTAAATTTTTCGATCGAATCATGTCGTCAATCATTATTTATGTATGAAAGGATCATTATAAACATGGTTTGAGTTAAAAGTTCTACCAAGGTGTACACGCCCATTGACAGTCATATGCCCGAGATCACCTTTCGCCAACGTACTATAAGGAAGATTTTATTGGGTCCCCCCACACACCAACAAAGCTAGTGGCTCCGACGGAATCCCACCGATTGTTCTTAAGAAATGTGCTCCCGAACTAACACCTGTTCTCTGCAAGTTGTTGAACTACTCTTACAAATTGGGGATATTGCCGTCCAACTGGAAAATTGCAGGAGTACTCCCAGTTCCTAACAAAGGCAAAAAGATCCTACCTAGCAACTGCAGACCGATCGCACTGCTATTTTTGTTGGTGAATCGTCTCCGTTCAAGATTTCCTCTCTGGTGAAAAGGTCTCAGCATTGTGAAGGTCTGAGTTGGCCCGTTGTGTTTGGAATCGGTGATGATAGATTCCAGAAAGGTTCCAAACTCGCAGAGCAATGTCCACAATAGGAATATCTCAAAGATGATTTCAATTGACCAACAAAGTTGTCTACAACAATCGAGTTTTCTATTCTCAAATATCTAGACCATGACTCTTGACTTTTCCATGAAGTTTCTCATCTATTTCTTAGTTACTTGTCATAACACACCAAGATTTCCAGTTGCCGATGACCATGATCAGGATGACCATAGTTAATGAGGTCGTGGATATGGTATCGTATACTATACATCCAATATCAATTGCAGAATATCCCGCACTGTGCGGCGTCGGTGTGTCTGATGTTTCCTTTGAAATGACTGCAGGTGCGGCACAAGATTCTGCAATTGTTTTCGGATAAACTATAACAACCAGTCTCTTTGATCATGTTTTAGAAATAGAGTAACTACCGTTTAGTAGCATTTGAATTTGTTTTCGTTGTTTTTTCTTTAACGTTTTACCTATCCTGAAGTGCATAAAATAGTATATACACCTCGGGACTGAAGTGTTTTTAAATCCCTCGACAAATTATAGCCCTTCCGGTGGTCGGGCAATGAACTTTTTGTCTAGGGATTTAAAATACCACTTCATTCCCTAGGTGTATAATGTACTATTCTTCCATTTTTGTTATATTTTCTTACTTTCCCGATGGGATTCATTCTACTATAATTTTTTCGGTTTAAAACATTATCGACTCTGGTCTAAAATCATCTAATAATAATATTGATAGTTTTCAAGATCATATTGGATAATGCTCTGATGACATTTGGCAATGGAGGAAACATTCTTCTGATCTACGTGTTTATTGAGGATTAGAAACAATTACCCTTTGGCTAAATGTTATTGAATCGTCGTAATGACCTTGAAAACCATGTTAGGTTAGTTCATTTGTGCCAGACTATGATACTTGGAGATGTCAGTGAGTATGTGATGGAGGAATATGAGTATTTTTACCTACTTTTCAATAGTGGATGAGGTTGTTGCGAGACGGGATTTTCTGGATTTTGTGGCTGTCAACACCACTGTGAATTGCATGAGACTCCAAGACCTACAAAAATTCAACCAGAATCGTGAAGATGGTCAAGAGACTACCCAAAATAATAGTGAGTGTTGCTAACAGCCAAAAATATGAGTAAAAATGTCGGAGTTGAATCTGAAATTTACACAAATGTAACTGTTCCAAGAAAAATGAAACCTATCTTGAACGATATTATAGATTTTTTGCAGTTGCAACATAATATGTACTAAGCATTGATAAAATGTTCTTACCAAATGGATAAAGTTAGCAGGACTAATACTGGTTCTGAAGCGACCTTCTCATCTTTGAAGGAATCGAAAAATTCTATTATATCAGCAGCAGTACCTAGAGTTATAAAACATATCAGTAAATTAATTCAAGATAAATACTTTCTTCAATATCAAAACCTAAGGAGAACATATTTTCACTAAGAACATGTACAGAGATTCACAAGACTAAGAATCAAGCAAAAATGTTTTAATAATCGGAGGAAAATTGATGAAACTCGAACTCTTTTGTTTCCAGAGATGTGAAAAAATGTTGAATAAAAAAAGTTGTTTGGGACGGCCCAAACTTTTATTTCGTGAAGTTGCTTCATATACAGGGTCATTCTTTTTCCGGAAAGGACATTAACTTTGATTCTTCCAATGGAGCACCCTATATATCTTCTGACATGTCTATAGAGCCTTTTTCTCTGTTTTCAAAAATATATTTGAGTTGCATATTTGGTTGCAGAATAATTGAGTTATTGATTATGGAAGTTCACCATAATACCGAATCTTCGATAAAATAATAATATTTATATATTTTTCAGTAAAATCCAGAATAGCTTCCGTTCTCAACGTTGAATCTGGATAAATAAGAATCAAACTGAACTTCTAACTTGACAGGTTCGAAGTTATTTCTAGTACCCACATTTTTACCTGAAACCAGTTTTCAACAAACTTTACTAAAAGCTGCTTTTTTATTGAGATTATGTTCTCATCGATATATTATGTTCTCTATTATGCGCTGTTTTTTTTGTATTCGTTGATTCAGTTGTTATTTAAGATTAAATTAGGCAATGGAAATTATCTGATTGTTTATGATTCTCACTCACCTAATATAATATGTATGTCCTATTATTATCAGTTATCTCCAAAGTGATGAGCTTACTGGAAAGCTCAGGAATCATTAATGATAGACAATATGGCATTGGCCATCAAAGATCAACTGGAGATTTAGTTGCTTACGTTAGCTAGATATATATGGCAAGCTCAATTAGAAAAACATGGGAAATCACTAGCTGTGGTGTTAAATTTGTCGATATCCGTATTTTGCATCAAGGACTTATCAAGGATAGATGTGGTGGTGGACGGATAGTATCGTGTGATATCATGAGTAGCCATTAATTCCGGCGTTCCACAAGGATGAATTTTGGCACCAACATTGTTCCTAAATCATAATCTGTTGGGTCTTGCCCTATATACAGCTTTGCAGATGAAAGTACTCTCCATACTGCGTTCTTTCTCAGGAAACTATGAACTCAAGACAAATGCAAGTCAACGCTGTCAACCCTAATGGCACACTGAAGTCACATGGATGTCCATGGACATTCGGGACGTCCATGGGACATGCGTTCTTGGTACCGCGGATATCCATAGTACATACGTCCGTGGGAAGTACAAATGTCCCGACTTCTCACAAAAAAATGATATCCCTCAAGGATAAACATTGGACCTCTCTGAAAAATCATCCAATGGGCGTCTTTTCAAAAAGTTCATCAAACATTCGGTTTTTGTACCGAGGCCCTCTGGAACGCCCATAAGATCATAGAACGTATCTGGAACTTCCATAGGACGTCTTCTGGAATATTTATAGGATGTCCTTGGATGTACGAATTAATCTTGACTTTGAATTCTTTTGAGTCTCCCTAGGACCAGATTGATGGTCCGTAGAAGGTCATCAATAGATCCTGAAGAAGGTTCCCAAAGTTGTCCAATGAACTTGCCTAAAGGACATTAACGGGGAGTATTTATAGCCTACGAGCAGTCGATCGTCGGCGAGGTGTAAGTAAACGTCCTCGTAGGGAAAACATATCTCGCGACTGGGACATCCGTAGGACGTTATTCCTAGGACATGGAAAATTATCATTTGCTTGCGTGAAGAACACTTATATAGGATGTCTATCTCCCCGGAGAATTTTCTTGTACCTACTCATTACTTAGATGAACATATATAGATTATCTATAGGGGTTCCTTCCGAAGTTTACAGTTCATATACCAATTCGGACATCCGACGGATGTCCCTAAGGGACATTTCGGGTGTTAAACGATCCTTGAAATATTATGGGCGTCCTTGCATTGAAAGTATGTACCACGTGGAACGTCTCAAGGATACTATTTCTAGGACATTTGAAATGATGTACCAGCAAGGATATTCCATGGACGTCCTTGCTAGGACATCGCATGAGACGGACGGGGACATCCCAAGGACAATTATTTGGGGTCCGAGACATTCAGACTTGAATTGTACCAAAAATGGACGTCCCTATTAGGGAATGAAGCTCTTGTTAAAATTACAGCCTTGGGAACCAACAACGTGGTGGTTGAGTTCAACGTCACCAAAACTCAAGGCTGTATTTTCTCTTGAAATGCAGATGTCAGTATGTCTGACATATCAATGGCTGCATACTATCATTCCCACAAAGTCTGCTATATATATATGATTCTATATATATATGATTCTATATATATATATATATGATTCTATATATATATATGATTCTAAATATATATGATTCTATGCTTGGTGTTTCCATCAGAAAAACTCTTTCATGGGAAAATCATGTCAGATTCATCACGAAAACTGATTCACCGGATTTATGATGATTTAGAATACTGTTCCCAGATATGGGAGTTGACACCCAAACATACGCTGGTGCCACACCAAGTCTTCTACAACATGGGAATACCATAAAAAATCAGGCGACCTTTCACTTTGGTATAGATACTTCCTCGGGAAATGATGGTCTTCAGAGATATATCTGCTATCATTCCATCACTAGCAATAACAGTCAGGTTAGGTTAGGTCACGTCATCGATGGGTTGCGTGCAAGAACTGTCAGATGACCGACCTTGGAGGTGAAATATCGAAACACAACCTCACTTTTCTTAGTTGTTTACAAATTATTCAAATAGATTTTCAGAATTATATGTTGACATACGAATCGTGTTTTTTGGCTATTCATTAATTCGCGTATGCCATCACATTGTGCTGTTGTACAATGCACAAAAAATGCAGCGTGAGACGAAGGAATCCGGTTGATACATCATGATCTGAAAGTAAGTACCTACTATATTCACTTACATACAGGGTGAGTCATTACTGTGGCAAAGTGAGATAACGGCTTTACAGTTTGAGATAGATAGACAGAAGTTCCAGAGATGATCTAGGATCATGAGCAGCACATTTCCAAATAATTTCGCTCCATACAGGGTGACTCAGAAATGCGTGGCGTATCAAAGTTATACTTTTTCTAATGGGACACCCTGTATTTCATTGCATTTTTTTCATTCTCCTTTGTGAGCTGATTTCATCAATGCATCACACTTGGGGTCTAGCGAAAATGATTACAGAGATATAGGGTGTTCAAAATCCAGATTTTTCAAATTTAGGATTTTTTTTGCGTCGAAACTATTCATTATTGGTCAAAACGGCTTTCATGTCCCTATCCCAAATTTTGATTTCCTATCTACTGATATTTAATTGGAACAAATACAGGGTGGTTCAAGATTCAGCATTCTGATCACTCTTGTATCTGTTCCAATTAAATATCAGTAGATAGTAAATCAAAAGTTGGGATAGGGACATGAGAGGCATTTTGACCAATAATGAATAGTTTCGACGCAAAAAAATCCTAAAGTTGAAATACTGGATTTTGAACACCCTAGTAATCATTCTCGCTAGACCCCAAGTGTGATGCATTGATGAAATCAGCTCACAAAGGAGAATGCGGAAAAGCAATGAAATACAGGGTGTCCCATAAGAAAAAGTATAACTTCAATACGCCACGCATTTCTGAGTTACCCTGTATAAAGCGAAATTATTTGGATATGTGCTGCTCATGATCCTAGATCTTCTCTGAAATTTTTATTCATCTATCTCAAATAGTAAACCAGTCATCTCACTCTGCCACACTAATGACTCACCCTGTATAGTTTTCATTTCAAAATTTGCCAATTTTCTCTGATTTCTCATCGGAATTCCTTCTGCAACAGGAGCTAATAGAAATACTCGTGAAATTTTTAACAGAATGCAAGAAGATTGGATTCATGCAATCAAACGGGAGAACTGGTCTGACATGCTGACGATGTATAATCGTGTGTGTTGTAGACATTTTCAATCTATTAGCAGTATCAGCTCCTATTGCAGAAGTGGCAAAAGGAATTTTAATAGGAAAAGACAAAATTTCATAATGAAAACTATGTAAGATTACTTTTTACCCGAAAAATCATATTTCTTCGTCTCTCGCTGCATTTTTTGTATATCGTAGAACAGCACAATGAGAAGGCACGCTTGAATAAATGAATAACGCAAAAAAAACACGATTCGTAAGGCAACATATTGTGACAAACTATTTCAATCCTTTGATTCCTCTGTAAACAAATGAAAAAGTGAGGTTGAGTTTCAATGTTTAACAGAAAAGTGAGGTTGTGTTTCAATATTTTACCTCCAGGGTCATCATCGTGCACGCGACCTATATTGCCGCCAGAAAATGTCTCAATTGCTCTGGTTCGAAAATAAAGATGAATTGAATCTCAACAATGAAAATGCATCAGAAGCAGAAGGAGACTTCCCCATTCTGCAAGAAATATGCCCCTTCCTAATTTTTTCTCAATGAAGCATGTATACCAACTTACCGATATAGACGAGCAACAGTTGGCTGAGCTGATCCCTGGTCAGATCACCTTTGGGCAGCATCCACCTCCCGATGATGAGGATCAGCATGAGGAATTGCTCGATCAAAGTTATCCAAGTTTCCGTGCTCATTGATATTTCTGGCAGCGTTATCTGTACCTGAAAATTATCAAAATCAGGAATTCTGAAGAATTTCGCAGTTTTGCAGACAAAGTATTTTGAATAATTCTGCAAAAACAATTGAAGCATTTGAAACATTTTTCAGAACAACCCAACAATATCGTTGTTGGATGTGATGATTCTTCATTAGGATTGCCACCTTTGATTTTCTCTTTTTCAGGACAAAATGTAGTTGAAAATGCTGGACAATCAATTAAAAATCGGGGCAAATGAAATTTCAATGATAATATTGAAAAGTTCGAAGAATTATAAGAGTGCGAGTGTTTAATGGTGTGTATGAAAAACGTTAGTTTATGCACTTCCAGCAATAAAAGGGTACTTTTAATTCCTCATTTGGGGGACTAAAGTAGTACTTCAATGGTCTGTTCACAATTCAATAATAGCTCTATTTTTATAAGAAATAGACTAAATTGAATATAAGTTAAATGGCATTCTATGCATTTAAATGAAAGGAATGCTTGAACTCATGATGAGTTAAAAATAAATATATATTATTTCTATGAACAGACCATTAATATCAGGGAATAAAGTTGAAACTGGCGTTTTTTCTCGAACTCCATAGTAATTCTTTCAAAAGGCACATCACTTTTCGATGTCAACAAACTATGAAACTCCACCGCTACGAGTACGAGAGTACTGTCTTCCATTATTTTCTTGGTTAACCTCACCTAACAACTGCTTCATGATCATTTATGATACGTCGCTGGCGCGCTTTTATCGGATCTATTCGTGCTATCATTACATGAATGATACTATAGTGGATAGAGAGGGGGTTAAATTCTGTAAGCTTTAAACTGTGGTTGAACATCTCATATGAGAATGGTATTGGGAGGTGGTAGATCGATTATGCTTTTCAAAAAAGTACTATACTTCCAATAGACGTTCTGTCCCTTCCAGCTACCATATTATATTATCCAAGTATCCGGCTGGATTCCATCACCAGTCACTTAACTTGAATGTAAGTTAATATTAAATCTAACCTAATGAAATTAGGATCATGAGTGCTGCTTCCTCGAAGAAAAAACGTCCCGAAAGTGAAGTGAGTCTCTGAAAAAACAAAGTACATAGCAAGTTTCATTGAATAAAATTGGTGGAGTATTTCTGCACAGTATACATCTGTCCTTGTGTTGAATACCTACCGATGAATATTCACTACCACAAAATTCAGGACATTTTGCGTCCTGCAAGTGATCTTGACAGGACGCAGGACAAAGCACCTCAAATTCAGGATGTCCTCCGAAATACAGGACGGGTGGCAACCCCATTCTTCATATCTATTCTGATTCCCTCTTTTTGACTTATTCATCCTATTATTCAGATCAATGACGGCTAAATATCAAGTGAGCTGTCTGAATGTCATGACAGCCCAATACTAAGTTCAGTGTATGATTGCTTGGTGGCAGCACATACGGGTAATCGCAAAGATTTCAGTTGTTTTTTGTTGATTTACGAGAATTTTTTCAAATTATTGGTTATGTATCTCATGAAATGTCAAAACATGTCATTTGCCTTTCGCTGCTGAGCTATTCTCGTAATTTCATTGATATTTCCTCTTATTTTTTCGTATTATAATATTGGTTGGGATGGAATCATTTTTTGCAATTTTGGAAGGAATGGGTCATAATAAACTGAGGGATATGTAATATGTAATCCGTCCGAACCTCTTTCAATCGATGAATCATGATTTACATTCAATGTACAATCAATATTATAAGTTAGAGTTGAAGGGAATTGAATTGAAGGTGGATACGTGACGTATTCGTCCCGAATTGTAGGCATCTCTCTCTGATACCTTGCCATAATGCAGTGTTGCAGTGTGATTGGTCAGCTCAAGGGGGACTAATATACGTCACACCAGTCACACCTATATGAATTGGCAACTTTTCATTCTATCGTCCTAGTATGAATGAAAAAAATCCAAATTATATTTACTGGTAGTTTTTTGGTATAGAGCTTACTATAATGTAGTTTTAGTAATTCAGTGGAATATGCGAAAATAACTAATCGATTGAATGAGAATTGTATGACCGACAAAAAATATGAGAAGATCGGTTCTTAACTATACTTACCCCTCCTATTAAAGTGCTGATCTCCTTGAACTGGGCTCCGGTAGTGATATTCATCGGTTTTTCTAGTGCTTTCATTCTACGATCAACTTTATCAAGTTCCAAAAGCCATATCGCTGGTACTATACTTGTCAGATATAGGAAAACTGATGGGCAAAACCTGAAAATGAGGTGAAATATCAAACTTCACAGAAAAAGACAGTTTATTAATGATAGCAATCACTAACAATAACATCAACACCAAACAAAATTTCTTGAACACCCTGGATCTCCTAAACCAGTACGTGGGTATATCGAATAGTGGTGTTTGAATGGTGGGGTAGTAGCGATTTTCTAGTATGTTGTTAGGCTTGGGGCCCTAATGATAAATCCAAGTTTTCGACCTCGAGGTACATGCGCTCAAAGCGCCATATTGGATTACATGTACATGGTGATTCACCATAATTGTCCCCCCCTCTAGCTCACTTATTTTTGACCTGATTTAAAAATTTGAAGGATGATCTAAAATGATTTCTCAGAATTTTTTTTCCCGTTGCATCAGGAAATACAGGGTGCTCGGAACAAATGATCTACAGAGTACTACTCGATTTTTCCAAATGGAACACCCTGTATTTCATTGTATTTTTAGATTCTTCCTGAAGAGCTGATTTCATCAATGCATCACACTTGGGGTCTAGCGGGAATGATAACAGAGATATAGGGTGTTCAAAATCGAGATTTTTCAAGTTTAGGATTTTTTTGTCTCGAAACTATTCATTATTGGTCGAAACGGCTCCTATGTTTCCATCTTAATTTTTGATTAACTGTCTATTGAGATTTGATTGGAACATTTACAGGGTGATTCAAGATTCAGAATTCTGATCACCCTGTATCTGTTCCAATTATTAAATGTCAGTAGATAGTAAATCAAGAGTTGAGATATGGTCATGAAAGCCGTTTTGACCGATGATGAATAGTTTCGTCTCAAAAAAATCCTAAAGTTGAAAAATCTCGTTTTGAACACCCTATATCTCTGTAATCATTCCCGATAGACCCCAAGTGTGATGCATTGAGCAAATCAGCTTTTCAGGGAGAATCTAAAAATACAATGAAAAATAGGGTGTTCCATATAAAAAAATCAAATGGTACCCTGTAGATCGTTTGTTCTGAGCACCCTGTATTTTCTGATGTAGCGGAAAAAAACTCATTCAAAAATCATTCAAGATTATATTTCCAATTTTGAAATCGGTTTAAAAATAACTGAGCTAGAGGGGGGGACATTTATGGTGAATCACCCTGTACATAGAAGCATTTGTTTTTTTGATAATAACTCAAAAACTGTGGCTTTCACGACAAAAAATGTTCAACATGATGGTAAAGAGGGCATAAATTCCTACATTTAGTTACAGTTACATCTCCGTGAATGCAAATCATATTAAGATAATTTTCGAAGAGACTTTACTTTGATTCTATGTATATTGATAGATTGCTCTAAACAAAGGCAGTTAACGAGAGCACAGCTGTTGTCTCGTAGGTATTGATAGAGGGTCATAAATGAATTATTCTTGAAATTCTCAATCAATTGTAAGTAAATTTGATATCTACAATTTTTTCACATGGTTTTCGCATAAAAAAATGAGAACCTTTTCACTGCATGATCTTGAAAATATCTTTAATATGAAAATATCACAATGCAGAGAAATAAATTTCATTTTTTAGGTCAAATATCAGGAATACAATTCATAGTTTATGATCTCTTGAATTGTTTCAGTCCGATTCACGGTTTCCACCTAAAAAATAAAATATATTTCTTTACATTGTGATATTATTGTCATATTTAACGATATAGTTATGATCATGCAGTGAAAAGGTTCAATTTTTCTACGCGAAAATTGTGCATCAGATCCAAAGAATTGTAGAGATCAAATTTGCTTTGAAATGATTGAAAATTTCAGGAATGATTTCAATTCCGATATTAATCAGTGACGTACCATCAATGCTTGCGAAAATATGTATGTGAAATTCCATACGAACGCCACTGGTGGCAACACAAAAATATGTGGTATACTAACATAGTACATGTATGCCGAATTCCATTAGAATATCTGAAGTGATATTAGAGATATTAATAAAAAATTATTTATTTTTGAGAACTCCACCACCCTGTATCTCTGTCAAAATTTAATAATTAATGTTTTCATATATTATATTATTCATTAGTTTATTATAATTGTATAGTTTTAGGTATTATCGTTAACTATACTTCCTTATACCAGAACTTGATTCTGACTGGAAGTAACATTTTCAATAAATAAATAAATAAATAAATAAATAAATAAATATGTTCATATGCCATTTCCTTCTTGAAATGGGCCCAAGAATCGCTTCCTCAAATATTGACATTCAATTAGGAAACACCCTGTATACAGATAAGTGCACAAAAAACGGCCAGGACTAACTTTTGAATTATTGCTCATTAATTGACGAATCAAGTTTTGTTCTATCGCTTCCGGTTTTACTAGAAACGACCCCAAATTTTGATCTTTAAATAGGACACCCTGTATTGTATTCCATAATCGGTTAAGGATTGTCTTCACGAATTCACCGATACCGGGTTTGATAGGGTTATTTCAAACGATTACGCAGATATTCGCGTTTTAAGTTTCCATAATATGCTCAATGAGTGTGACAGAGAAAGAAGTTTTTCTATTGCGAAGTCACACACATTGAGCATATGGAAACTTCGAACGCGAATATCTTTGCAATCGTTTGAAATAACCTTATCAAATCTGGTATTGTTGCATTCGTCATGATAATTCCTAACCGATTATGGAACACAATACAGGGTGTCCCATTTGAAAATCAAAAGTTGGGTTCGTTTTCGGTGAAACTGGAAGTGATAGAAGAAAAATGGTTTCATCAATTATGAGCAATTTGGTATACTTGCTACCCACCAATTTTCAAAACCCTATCTCGAATAATTCAAAAATTACAGTCCTGGTCGTGTTTTGTGCACTTCTCTGTATACCTATTGAAGTTTGAAAACTTTGAACTCATATTTTTTCCGAACATTTCAATAGGAAAATGCGTAATAACTGGCCTACTGGTCTACTCTCATCCGCAATCGTCAAGAATGCCATGACACGGGGGAATATAGTTAAGTGGCTGATGTTCAGTTGTTTGATGCCCTCCACTCTCTCATTTCCGCACAATTTGGAATATCATTGTGTCGATTTCCACTGGAACGACCTGATTTTTTATCGGTATTTCGTCGAAATTGGGGCGAGTTCATGCCGAATCACGGGGGTGCATAACAAGCTGGAAACTTATGATATCCTTCATAAGATAAGATGTACTGGGGGAGTTATTTCGGCGGTCACCTATTAGGGCGATGTCTCTATAATGCATGAATCAAAGCAATTTCGAACTTATTTCTCATGTATCAATATTTTACATGTACCTCTCCTGAATCAGTGCATTATTTTTTGTTTACGAAAAATCATTAGACTCGCTTTTCCGAATTGAATCGCATTTATATTTCAATTCAACTATTTTTTTTAACAGTCAACTTGTCATACATCGTCTTATGACAAAAATCTCGAACAGAAAAAGAATTAAAAAACATATGGTGCCATTCGAAAAAAAACTGACCGTTACAGTTGAAATTTGAAAAAATAATGATCACATCCAACTCATAGTAGGTATCTGATAGTAGGAGAGCTGGCTGTAGATTTCTACCGTCATCTGATAACGAAATGATATATGTCCCAAAGAAAAGTAAAAATGTTGTATTGAAAAGAGATTCTCAGATATGTTAGCTTTCAAGAACCCGCCACTGATGACATTTATATTGCGAACTTGCTTCCATATTTTATTTTTCAAAGTTTCATTAATATGACAATATATGTACTTATTTCAAAAACACCTCGTATATTTTCATCTGAAAGAGAATGCAAATTCTCGACTTCGAATTATTTTTATTCTCAATTTCTTATTGTGTGTGTCTATATAATTCAAAGTTCGTCGTGGCATATAGCCAGGAAAGCAGTTGTTTTGTGTTAAATATTCCGAGAAAGAATTAATATTTTTATCAGATAGAGAAAGCGAATTCTTTATGTATTTCTTCGAATGTATCAATTTTTTCAAGTTCCTATAATATATCTGAGGATATTTCTTCTCAATGAAAATCTTTAATTTCATAATAATAGCTGAACAGCTGTAATTCACTGTTTGACGAGGCAAATATAGCCAGGAAAATAGATATTTTCTGTTGAATATTCCAGATTATATATACATATATATATATATATATATTTTCATCTGAAAGAGAATGCAAATTCTCAATTCAAAAGATTTTATTTTCAAATTCTTATATGATTCATCGTCGTGGCATATATGCCAGGAAAGCAGTTGTTTTGTGTTAAATATACCGAGGAAGAATTAATATTTTTATCAGATAGGGAATGTGAATTCTCAATATATTTCTTTGAATGTATCCATATTTTAAGAAGAAATATTTTCAGATAATATATATTATAGGAACATAATGAAAATCTTTGATTTCGTAATAATTGCTTTTGATTCCAAACTTTGATTCACACTGACGTTTACTGAAAATCAATGAGAAACGTCAAAATACGCATCACGCAAGTGACAGTCAAAGGTGTCATGGAAGTAAAAAAATACAAAATCTTGTCGGTAATCAACAAGTTATTATGCACTGAGGAAAATTGTGCTATTAGGCTTCTTGCTGAGATATGTCTTGCTACCATTACAAGACATCCTGTTACCGTTACACATTTTCGTATAGAAGCAAATTGAAATCCTATGATAGCAATAACGACTTTGCTGAAAGTGAATTTTCTGCCACGAGTAGGTATACTGCTGTCGCTATCAGGCCGCCACTCTGGGACAGCATGATTTTTTTAATTAATAATTGTTGGGCTGAATAGCTACTATATAGTGAGTTATATGCCAGTGGCTGCAAGGTTCATCGCACAAAACTGCACATACAACTGTCAGTCTGCCACGAAAATATTTGACACGATCCCAATTGTGGTTATTCAGCGCCTACTTATCGTTATTCGATATTTTGCTGATTTTTCACCCTCTACGACATGTTTAATCATTCCCAGTTGGGCAAACCCATGTATAGGACGACAACCTCGACGACATGACAGTTACGAATACTTCCTCTCTTTAATCCAATTCATTATTTAGAATCTGAATCCAAATATAGAATGGAAACATTTTTGAACAAATGAAAAAATCTCCAGTATCCATTTCAGTGCTCAGGATTGATGGAATGATAAAGGTGAGTTTATTCACGGTATTTTGACTAAAATATTAATATTTTACATTCAACATTTCCTTCTTTTTGGTCCAATGAAACTTTGAAATTGTCAAATTGGGTGAGTGAATAATTGATCTATTGAATTTCAATAAAGATCATTGGTCCAAAATTCACTGTAGGAATCAATGAATTGCCATTGATACGAAACACCAGAGTCGAAATTATAGGAAGCGTAATTGGGTGTCAGTCAAAATGTCACCATTTTTATGACAACAATCCTGGAAAATAACTAAATAACTACAGCAAGAAGGTCATGCAACTATCTATATGAGCACTCATCAAGATTAGCAAAGTTCTCTACCTATGATTATAAAATTGTCCTATATAATTTTGAAATACTTCTGACACTTTTTTAAATTGAAATGACTTATCAATACAATTGTTACTTTTTGAAATTGACTTGACGCTTTTTGAACTAAAATTGGAAAAGGTGTAGTGGTTCATAAATTGACAAAAACTATACCTTGGTAGTAAAAACACACTCTAAGCCTCGAAAAGAAGTGAATAATGGTAGGTTCTGCAGCTAGTGGTGGAAAAAATAAATTATCAAGTCAGTAGGTACGTACCAACTCCACTCTAGATTTTTAGTTAAAGTCAAGGTGACCACAGTCTCCAAAATCATGAGAATCAAGGGGGCACACAAGTACCAGTACCAGCGGTCATCTTTCATGTAAACCACTTGCCCGATGGCGATCAAAGAATGAATTATGAAGATTATCCGTATGAAAATGGCCCGTAATATTCTGTGTTTGCCCATTATGGGATATCATAGAAATACCGAACGTATTCGCCTTTCTTAGGCCATTTTCTGAAATTCGTCAGTTTCATGAGATTCACCTCATGATGATTCCACGTTTACTGACAATCTGAATTTTATCAACAGAGTTATATGATTTGTTTGAATGATATCACCTTAAAGTAAGTACGCGCTTATCTCTCATTGACTGACTAATTTCAAATCCAAAAGCAAATTTATCTGTTGCGACATTTATGAAATATTTTTACAATAGGTGGAAGGTGTACTAGATTTATTGCAGCTTCCTCCCGGAATGAGTATCCAATATACAGGGTGTGAATGCTTGACTCCGCGATACATTTCAAGAGGTGATTCCCTATATGATTCCATATGAAGATGTTTGAGGTATCAATTGATTTTTTCATGATTTCCTGTATGTACCATACGGGAATATGAAAATGATGTTGAGGAGGCATTTTTCGAAAGAGATGATCATATCCGATTTGAGATTTAGATTGGAAATTCATACTAGCAATAATTTTTCATTGACTCGGTGGTTACTTGATGGAAGCCCATGGCAAATGTAAAAACTTCACAAACGATAAAATTTTCACAAAATTCTCAATCACACGACATGTTTTGCTAACACAGTAGCTTCATCAGGTGAAATACTGGTACAATGAACAAAACTAACCTTGGCTTGCCTAACTTTCATATATCCTACTTTCCCAACCTGTAGGATTAGAATTACCTTTGGACAGGTTCGATAAACCTTCATTTTCTACTAAGAAAACAAATTCAACAGTGGTGAACTATTGAGGTCTAGTTGATCGTTAAGTGAAATGTTAGAATTTTTGAGTTTGTTGATTTTTAATTATTCAAAATGATTGAGTTTCATTCCTTCATTCTTTACGTGTAGAATTTCGAAATTATCATAAAAATGATGGTTTTCTTATTATACTTGCTTGGCGAATGTTGAATTTGTTTTTTTTTTTCAAAAAACTCATCATATGTTCATCAATGCACTGATCAAACGTACGACCTGTCTGACCGATATATACCTTAGGACAAGATCCACAGTTGAGTTTGTATACCCCTGATTTTTCGAATTTAGAAGTTTTGTCTTTATTATTTTTGACAAACCTTCCCAACGTGATATTTGTGCATTTCATCTAGACCTCAAAGCTACTGTGTTAGCGAAACATTTGTGAAACCATATTAGGCATTCATTTATTTCGAATTTGAAAACCTATATTTCATATTCAGTTCATTCATATATCAAACACCTGTGTATACGAAGTTTCATCCTTATATATCATGTACAGGGTCGTCAAAAAAAATGAAGCTCACTTTATTGACCATTTCAAATTTTATTATCATTTTGAAAAAAAAAATATCTAAATCGCTCCTACTCCAAATTACTAGTGTGGTTACAGTTGTACACTATGCATATGAAAGTTGAAATTATGAAATCGTGTGTCACTCTGTAGGTTCTATAATTTGGGAAATTTGAAAAATGTGTCATCATAATAAACATCTTGAAAAATGATTTTTATGACTCATTTATTCAGAAAATAGGCTGAGGATTGGACAATTGATTTGATCGTTTGATCATATCAAAATGTCGTGTGAAGATGATTTCGACTATTATTAAGTAGTTGAATAATTATTTGTTTTACTAGGCAGGAAAGTAGTAGATTGACTGCCGTGTGAAACATATAATTTTTTCTCCAAATGTTATAAAACCAATTTTGTGTAATTTTGTTGTTGAAAACTCCATCATCTTTGCTTGTATTCACCCATCAATGGCAGTGTCAATTTTGAATACCAATTTCTCGGATTATTGCATAGCAACAAATTTTTCCTGCCTGTTGAGGGTCAGAGAAAAGCCAATTTCCCTGCCGCTGGGAGAAAATAGTTATTTACCTAACAAGTGCGGAAAGTAGTAATTTTCCGCACGCGACGGTAGTTGCACGAAAGATGCGGAGCGGAGTTCGGGCAAGTCGTCAAGGGCGGAAAAGACATTTTCCCCAAGAGCTAGGTACAAAGTTTTTCCTACGAGTGTTTTGTCCATATTATTTATGAAAAAAAAAAGTTTTTATAGACAATATTTTATGATGATGCTACGAAATGACACATAAGACTGAATACTTACATGGATCATTTTGTTAGTCCTAAATATCCTTATTTTCAACAATACAAAAATCGTGCAGAAAAGTAACTTTTCAATACTAGTGCGGTAAAGTAACTTTTCTGTACGATATTTTCATGCACTGAAAAATAATGAAATAGATTTTTTTTTTCATCGATAAAATAGGAAACTTATTTGAAAAAATATTTAAATAGCAATAACTTGAACATTAACGATGGTAAATATTGAAATTGAAAGTGCAATTTGTGTTTGTTGCATGCTGTGATATAGCAGATGCCGCAACATCTTGAATAACGTCGTTTCTTATTTGAATTTGATTGTTTAGTGTTTGGCCCACTACAGGAATGCCTTGATCAGTTTGTTGCTGAGAATTACTAGTGTAGTGAATGGAGGAAGGTAGATTGGTCTGAAATGAAATAATAATAATAATTTATTAGCCCCAGTTATGTTTAGAATACATTTTAGGTTCTCATGCACATAAAGTATGAAACGATCACAATTTGAAATAAAAATAAGATACATATACAGGGTGTTTTATAATTGAATGCTGATCCTCAAGGGCGATAATCCTTGAATGATTTTAAAGAGAAAAGTTCATATCAACATATGTCCTAAACTTCTCAGTTATTGAGCTACAGGGTGATGAAATTTCAAGAAAAAAATGAGTTTTTCATCATATTTTTTTATCCCTCTTAGATATTGTTATGATATTCTGTATACACCTTTTCATTATTGAGGAGCATTTTCTTACGTGCAAGATATTAAAAAATTCTCACCAGTGGCGTCCGTACGGGGTTTGAACTGACAATTTAAAAAAAAAATAGTACGCCACTGATTTTTCTAAGAACCAGATTCTCTTTTCAATTCTTATTCATTTTGGATCAAATTTGGTTCCGAGACTTACTTTCATACAACGTACCGTTTTCACGTAAAAAAATAAAAATCAAAGAATTTTGTTCCTTCAGTTCTTGAATATTGTTTTTGGTATAATTCAGTAGACACCCACTATAAGTGGAAACACAGTTTGTTTTGGAACGAAAATCAAACTTTTACTTTTACCAGTGATGTCCTCGTAGACCTGATATTGAATGTTTTGTTTAAAAAAACGCTGTACGCTTCTGATTTCAACACCCTGTAGCTCAAAAATTAAGAGATTCAGGACATATGTTGATATGAACTCCTCTCATTAAAATCATCCAAGGATCATCGCCCTTCAGGATCAGCATTCACTAATGAAACACCCTGTATGTGTATAGAAAACGTTCTCAAAAAGTACAATATAAGACTCGACAATTCAAAAAAAAAATCACAGCTAGGTGTCTCGTAAAAGGAGAAGTCAAGAAATTCATCATGTGAATAGAAGGCATTGTTCAGTAAAATTTCCACAATTGCTGCTTTGAATTTTCTGATCGGTGCATTCTTCAGTACAATCGGCAATTTGTTAAAAAGCTTGAGGGATGTATAATTAATTGGCTGTTGCGTTTTTTGAAGCCGGTGGTACGGTATACTCAAGGATCTTTTGTTCCGAGTATCATAATCATGGTAAGATGAATTCGAAGATGAAGAGTTCTCATTTTAATTTACAAACATGACACATTGTAAGATGAAAGCTTAAGGTAAAGTTAGAATATTCAACTTTTTGAATAACGGTTAGCAATAATGATCTCGGTAACCACCCAATACTCCAACGACTTTTTTTTGGAGTTTGAAAATCCTGTCACTGCCCACGGAGTTTCCCCAAAATATAAGCTCTTAAGAAAAAATGGCATAGAATTAGTTTTCTAATTTGGTATACTACTTTATTCAATTTCATTGCTGTGTAATCGATGTGATCGTTCCAGTTCTATTCTGTATCAATGTGGATGCCTAATAATTTGACACTTCTTTGTTGTTCATGATTGAAGAAAAATATTTCATTGGTTTTTCCTGTATTACGTTTTAAATTGTTTGCTGAAAACCATTCTGAAGATTTTGTTGCTGTTTCCCGGTTTTCCAGACTCAATGTATTTATATCCCGACCAGTATAGCGACTGTTGCTATGGATACGTTCTGGTGCCAACAGTTATCACCACATTTCTCCTGGTATTTCCTTCGAAATCTAGTGCAGGAAAACAAAGATATGATAAAATCACTAGTAATGTAAGTGGTTGGTGATGGAATATAAAAGTTTGAGTTTGTTTGTTGCAGTATTAAGTATGTATGTTCAGAATCATCCATCAAATTGCACTATTTATTGTAAAAATTATGAAATATTGAGAAATAAAAATTGAATATTATAAAAATCCCCCTATAGATTTGGATTGATCTGACGGGAAACGTCAATTTGTCATGCCAATCAAACCTCAAATAAGTTTGAAATTGTCGAAGTGACAGACACAGCGTTACTGTCATTTTCGATTCAGTGGAAATGCCACAATGTGATCAAAAACTTCTAGCTATAGGGATTTGATACAGATGCGTTATCACCAACGAAGTCTTAAGAAAGGTATGAGAAGCTATACACGCGTTTTATTGAATGGTGCAACAATAAAAAAATGAAAAATCGAATGAAGAATAGGTATTTTTGGCTCATTTCATCGAAGTGTCTGGAACCTAGAGACCAAACTCCTAATGGACCTGCTGGCTTCCGCAATGAACCAACATAATGCGTCAAACTGTAAGTTCACAATAGCTATTACTAATAATTAATAGATAGAGAATATAATATCTCTTGTTAGTTGTTCCTATTTGCTTGAATAATTAATTGAACGATTCAATCAATTTCCTACGCTTGTAGAAAAAATATTGTTCCTAACTCATGCGGAAAGTTTCTTTCCCGCACTCGACTGCTTGACCGAACTCCGCTTCGCGTCGTTCGTGTCAACGGCAGTCACGTGCGGGAAAGAATCACTTTCCGCACTTGTTAGGAAAATTACTATTTTCGCAGGCTCGTCGGAAAAATTGATTCTCTAAACTTTGACATGCTCTCTTACCATTTCCATTCTTGATTTTGCTTTATGGTCAAGGTGAACACTCCTTCGAAAAACAACAACAAGATCGGCGAGCTCAAGTACCAGTAAAAGTAATTTTCTTTGAAAATGGTGACTTGCCAGATGCCGAGTATACCGTGTGCGGAAAATACCAGTCTCGTTATTATGGCTTTTACGGTAGCCAGAAACGTTGCCATTTCTCATAGCACTGCCGACGAGCGGATTGGATTTGAACGCCACCCTTGTATTTTTCGCGGACGATTGCGAACCCTTTGGCTTTACTTTTGGCACAAGGGTCGGCAGGATACATTTTCATTTGCGCATCTCCTTTGAAACAAACTAATTTTTCGAAAATCATTTCATGTACGTAATATACAGGGTGATTCAGGTTTAAATGTACAAACCGAAATGGGTGATAGATTTCATCATTTCAATTAAAAAAGTTCATATTAACAAAAGTCCGATTTCGATCAGTAGTGGAGCTATATTGCAGAAGGTTAAAGGACCCCGCACGAAAACACGGTAAATTGGCTCTCGATCGAATTGGCTGAAATTTTACTATGTTATTGTGGGATGGCTCATTAGAAAAATATGTGATTTTGAAAAGTTTTGTATGTTTAGTTTCTGAGATATAAGCCTACAAAGTTCGTAAAAACGTCGTATCGGGGTAGGATTGACGAAGAAAAAAACTGTTTTTTTAGTATAAATAAGACAAAATAAGCTAGAAAATGTATTGATCGGAACTCAAATACATGTATATTTATGATCACATGAATTATAGTAAATCAGGGTGTATACGAGGCACGGTCAAAAAATTCATTTTTCGGAAAAAAATTCGAGTACTTTTCCAAAACCAACAAGTTATATTTTGGTGAGACATTATAGTTTCAGTCTATTGTAGGCTTCGGAAACGTATTTTGATTCTTGATTACTATCTCTGTTCGAAATATGAATTCTTTGAATTTTGTGTTATACCCCTTTTGAAAACAATTGAAAGCTTGTTTTTGATCACAAAGAAAGAGATTGATTGATACTGTTGATTGAATGAAAGCTGAGGAAACTCACTAGCGATTTCAGTTGTTCAATATTGCCTTCCATTTAGATACAGGGTGTGTTAGATTTTGTTGAAGATTATTAATTTAACATGTTTCAATTGAATATCTCGAAAACAGTTCCGTTAATTTGAATCTCATTTCACACACACTATTTTGAATATGTTGACTATCATAATATGCAAAAAGTTTTTCAATTTTTTATGTTCCGTTTCTGAGATATCAATTTTTGAGTAATATCCGAGGTAATAACCCTATAATACTTATAATACTGTAAACTCAAAAATGCATATCTCAGAAACGAAACATAAAAAATTGAAAAACTTTTTGCATATGATAGTCAACATATTCAATGTGTAAAATGAGATCCAAATTAACGGAACTGTTTTCGAGATATTGAATTGAAACATGTTAAATAATCTTCAACAAAATCTAACACACCCTGTATCTAAATAAAAGGCAATATTGAACAACTGAATTCGGTAGTAAGTTTCCTCAGCTTCCATCCAATCAACAGTATCAATCAATTCCTTTCTTTGTGATCAAAAACAAGCTGTCAATTGTTTTCAAAAAGGGGTGTAACACAGAATTCTAAAAATTCATATTTCGAACAGAGATAGTTATCAAGAATCAAAATACGTTTTCGAAGCCTACAATAGACTGAAACTATAATATCCCACCAAAATATAACTTGTTGGTTTTGGAATAGTGCTCGAATTTTTTTTCCGAAAAATGAATTTTTTGACCGTGCCTCGTATACACCCTGATTTACTATAAATTATGTGATCATAACTAGACATGTATTTGAGTTCCGATCAATAAATTTTCTAGCTTATTTTGTTTCATTTATACTGAAAAAAACAGTTTTTTTTTCTTTGTCAATCCTACCCCGATACGACGTTTTTACGAACTTTGTCGGCTTATATCTCAGAAACTAAACACACAAAACTTTTCAAACTCACATATTTTTTATTTTTCTAATGAGCCATCCCACAATAACATAGTTAAATTTCAGCCAATTCGACCGAGAGCTAATTTACCGTGTTTTCGTGCGGGGTCCTTTGATAATTTTTCTCTATTAATATTCAAATATCTCGCTCACTTTTTTACATTTGTTATAGTTAATACTCTATGAAATCCATTGAACTGAATAGTCAGTATATTCAGTTCAATGATAAAATCATAATTCAAAGCATTTGAATAGTATATTAATGTAACAAGTGTTATGAGCGTCGTTTTAGTAACGAGTATTCTGATCACGAGCGCAGCAGAACGGAGTGAGTGAGTGTTTAATAAACGAGTGTCTAGAAGAGTTTATAAATGTGATACATACTATACTTTTTCTACGAATTCATAATTTCTTTCTTCGACAAGATCCCATAATTCTGAAAATTAGATTTATAACCTATCTGAGACACGTATAATGTTATATTGGTTGTAGATGTGCGTTCAGTCCATAGGGTAAATACATTTCTATTAAAATGGCTTGATTACTATGACCTTTGTGAATAGGATTTCATATGACGTAGTAGATAAATACTCTTCGATTCGCTGAGGTGTCAAAGTTTTCGATTTCTCAGGTTTGTATCCATATTCTGATTGCATAATTTTGCTCAGATTAATATTGTGCTTTACGTTTATTGTCATGCTTAACATAGAATGAACAAAGATGAGACCTTCATTTATACCTAGAGTTCTTGTAAATATGCAAGTACCTATACCACAGCCTATACCCACCTATAACATTCTCTTCGATTTCACTCTCGTCCACAGATCGCATACATTTTCAATGAGCAATTCTACAATTCTGATACAAACAGAAATTGTTGGAATAATTCTAATTGGAAATAATAATTGACAGTTCCTACAATTGCCGGATAGGACTCGAACGACTGAAGGCGTGTTTAAAAAACAGAAATACCTAGATTCTCTTGAAAAAACAGTGATTAAATCATCTCAGGGAAAAAATTGAAACATAAAACTCTATACACGTGTGTGAAAAAACAAAAAACAATGATCTGTTTGCTAGAAATAGCCAACCTACATCAACATGTTGAATTTATTTCCCATTTGTCATGATGGGGTTTTGTGAATAGATTTCTTATAAGTGAAATCAGTGCGCACACCCTTTCTATACCTATAATAATGATGGAAGTAAGATATGGTGCGTGTATTCGGCCATTTATAACGTATTGAAAATTTCAGAAAAAATCACTCGTCTGCCTACTATGATTTCTCTACGACACAACGAGCGAGACGTTGATTCTACATTTTCCCGCTAGATGGTGATGCTGCTATTGCTGCTGTGACGAGTGGAAATAAAATGGCAAACGCCATTTTAGGTACGCGGAACGTATGTGTTACATGTTTTTCACATCCTGTATAAAATAGGGATTTCTAGATGTACATTATGACATGAGAACTGGAAGATAAAAGGAGCATCGGTTGTTATGTATATTACGATAGTTACAGTTATGTAATAAAATTATGGAGATCCGAATTGGATTTTTATTCTCATGGAAGAATTCATACTACATATACAATAGTTTGGCGACGAGGATTTGAAAAGAAGCACGTTTACGCATCCTGAACTACACCTACAGAGAATTACAGCCATGGCAGAGTTATTAGTACAAACTTCTTTCAACATTGAACCATTTGAACCGAGTACCATGGAGTTTAGAAGATGGTTGCAGCGATTGGAAGGAGCATTCACGGTATTCAAAGTTACCGAGGATTTACGGGTACCATATCTTTTACACTACATTGGTTCCAAATCATTCGAGATAATATGTGATAAAGTCTCAACCGAGGATCCATACCAGAAGTCTTTCAACGAGTTGATTGAGAAAATGGAGCAATTCTATTCACCAAAACCATTAGAAATAGCAGAAAATTTCCGATTCTACCAGAGAAAGCAGCAGAATGGCGAGAGTTTACAAGAATATGCAGCGGCGTTACAAAAGATGAGTATTCACTGTAATTTTGGGAATTACCTGAAAACTGCACTTCGGAATCAATTTGTATTTGGTCTCTCGAGCAGAAGAATTCAAGCGAGACTTCTCGAATCCATTGATTTGAATTTTGACAAGGCTGTCAAAATAGCTACGAGTATGGAGCTGTCAGAGAAAGACGCGATTCAACTACACGGTGGCCCAAATAATTCTCTTGGTTATTTAGGGTCAACTTCAAGAGATTCGAAGGCGACACATCATTTCAAGAACAGCAGAGATTCAACTAATTCTAATAAAATTTCAAATTTTTCCAGAAATTCAAATACTGTTAAATGTTTCAGGTGTGGTGGTGGTCATTTCGCTACAAAATGTAAATTGGATGAAAATATTCAATGTAAAGAATGTGGAGTGAAGGGTCATCTACAGAAGGTTTGTTTTAAGAAGACTACCCATACGAATTCAGTTGAGGAAATACATAATTCAACCTCAGTAAGTACATCAAATTCAGAATCAGATTAAAATATCATTACACAAATTGAACATCGACAATTCAGAGATAAATATCTTATTGACCTCAATGTAATACAATACAATACAATACAATACAATACAATACAATACAATACAATACAATACAATACAATACAATACAATACAATACAATACAATACAATACAATACAATACAATACAATACAATACAATACAATACAATACAATACAATACAATACAATACAATACAATACAATACAATACAATACAATACAATACAATACAATACAATACAATACAATACAATACAATACAATACAATACAATACAATACAATACAATACAATACAATACAATACAATACAATACAATACAATACAATACAATACAATACAAATACAATACAAAACCATACCAAACCATACCATACGATACGATACGATACGATACAATACAATAAAATATTGAAATATTCCACATAGTATTCAGAACTTATGTTCAACAGAAGAATCAGGCAACGATTAGATTTCATAATTCCAGATCAAAATGACTATATAGATGTGAATAAGGGAAAAGAAATACGATTTCTAAAAGAGGGAGAAAGAGTAGAGTGTAGAAATTATATTGGAGAAAATAAGTGGGAATTTGGAAAAATAGAGAGAAAGCTTGGAAAATTACATTATCAGATTAAACTCGATGATGGTAGATCATGGAAGAGGCATATAAACCAGTTGCGATCAATAGGAACAAAAACTACATGTTTAGCTAATGATTCTGATTCTGAGTTTGATTACCATATACCATATCCTGTAGATGATCCTGAAGAAACATCAGAGCCTATGGAGAATTCAAAAATTAATTCCAATGTCACCACCACACGGAGATCGCAGAGGAATATCAGATTGCCAGTTAAATTAAGAAATGATTTTCAACTTTGAGTTGTTATTGTGGATTTCTTTTTAAGGAGGGAAGGTGTTACATGTTTTTCACATCCTGTATAAAATAGGGATTTCTAGATGTACATTATGACATGAGAACTGGAAGATAAAAGGAGCATCGGTTGTTATGTATATTACGATAGTTACAGTTATGTAATAAAATTATGGAGATCCGAATTGGATTTTTATTCTCATGGAAGAATTCATACTACATATACAATAGTATGTAACAGTGGGATTAAACAACTCTGAATTCGAAAAATCTGCGACAATTTCAAAACTGACAGAGAATTCATAATTGTGCAATGTCGCCATCTATTAGAAGATCATCGGAACCATTCCTCTCGCTGCTCTCGAGAAGTCGAGTAAAATTTCTGAAACAAAAGCGGGTAATTTTGCACTTTTCATGCGATGGGTTTTTTTTTCGAAAATTAATTATTGGTACTTACGTATTTTTGTCTGAAAAACACGAATTTGATAATGAAAATGTGAACAAACCACTATTTATCGAGATATTTCAAGAAAAAGTTCGAAAGTTTGCCTTCTTTTCCCCCTTGTGTTGGATGCATTTACAGGTACTTGCTATTATTATTTTGTCATTGGACACTTTATATACTCATGATGTACTTCACTGACACATTTTAAGATAGAAAATTCAACACGGAATATGATTTTAATGGCGAGTTTTTCCTATTTAGTGAGCAAGCATACCAGATGACAGCCATTCAATCCATATGCAATCCAAATACGAGATGTCAAATGTCAATAGATTGCTTTGGAATGACATTACACACGCCATTATTTCAAATGATATTCTTCCTTCTTTTCACTAAACATGGATAAATCACAAGAAAATCATATTTCTAGTTGACAAATATAATAAAAAAAATGTGTCCAACATTGTGTGATATATATGAATTGTCCAATGATGGAAAAAGAAGGGCAAATTGTTCTAAATGTGATCCAGAAGACAGGCGGAAAAGATGGTGAAATTTGTAACTTTATAGTGAAATATCTTGATAAATAATGGTTTGTTCACAATTTCATTATCAAATTCGTGTTTTCCAGACAAAAATACGTATTTTCGAAAAATAACCATCGCATGATAAGTGCAAAATTACCCAAAAGCGCATCAGTAATTACACCACATCCATATCTTACTTCCATCAATCCCATCATCAACATGTTATATGACCGTCTGGAAGTTCCAATAGTCACGTCCGTTGATGTCAAAAAGTAAATTTGACAGTGACAAAAGTGACAAGACTAGAGATAAAGATAAACATTTCCATAACCTAGAAAATTTATGTAAATAAGAAATTAAGAACAGTTTTATCTCCTTTATTTTATTACTTTGTTCTCCTGACAGTTGTTTACCAAGCGAATAAACTAGTGTTGTAATTAGGTGAATATAATTGTGAGAGCACCAGGTTGTCACAATTTCCATTTTTTATTAAGATAGCTCTTGTGGATACAAAAAATGGAAACAGCCACAGCAGGGTGGATTAGCCTGATAGTTATCCTGTGCATTGCAACTTTTGGAATATATTGGCTAGTTATCTTTGCTATAAGCCTTATCTTCTTTCTTGTTGGGTATGGTTGTAGGAGTATATCATATATCACTGAAAGATTTCGAACAACTTACCAGCTTTAAACTGTCAATTTGTTTTCAGGTGCCTTTCTTTATTATATGTCCAAAATGAGGATATAGAACGATTCTACATTAAATGTGCAGGCAATCCACTAACCTCCAAGACTCTCCCTGAAGGTGGTATAAAAGAATTTGTGAAAAATTTGGAGAGTCCCAAAAAAGCTAAGAAAGTTGATACTAGAGTCACTGGTAGTGAATTGATTGATAGCTCACTGCAAGAGATTTTAGGTTACATTATAAGAGACTACTTGTCTTCATGGTTTAGTATGATATCCAGGGATAGTGAGTTCACTGATGTCACAGTACCACATACTGCACAAGCATTTGCTATCAATATTTCTAACAGGTATGCAGATAATTGATATTCATAGAGCATGAATTATTGGCATTATATGACTTTATGTAGGGTTAAGGACGTTGACTGGATTCCTTACATGACTCAGAGATTAGTGGATGATGCAGCATCTCATTTGAGGTTGTACAAACAGGCAAGGGCCAAAATGAAAATCCAAGAAACTGCCAAGGAACAGAGGAGTTCACAGCACAGGGACAAAACCTCCCCTAAGAAGGGTAATCATAAGAGGAATAAAAGTGAAACTGATGTTAGTTGGTACAGTGGAAGAACATCAGAACTGAAAAGAGGTCAGCAGAAGTTCATTACTGAATTCATTTTATTAAAAGCCTTCAGACAAATGGAGTTAGTTCACTCTGCTTTATCTAATCACATTTTGTTCTTTAAATATAGCAGAAAATAGTTAATTTTAATGGAGCAAGCTCATCTAACATAATGACACCATGATGTGACATGATTTGATTTTTATCATTTTTTTCTCTGCATGTAATGTGGGTGAAGGTTCAAATACCACTTTATGATAATTATACTTGTGGAATGCTAGTGTTATACTGTGTGAAATATATTTATGGTCTCATCTCTTTAATTTCTCCAGCTATTTTTCTTGAAATCATTGGATATGCTTGGACATTTTGGATTCTTTCAACTTATCAGTACTATTCCTTTGAAGATTTTACTTTTATTTAAAAAAATGCATGAACACAATCTGAAAGATTTCAGAAAGATTATTAAAATCAGAAAAATTCACTAAAAATACTCAAAGCTAAAATCTAAGAACAGGTTTCAAGAAAATTCAAAATCTATTTTTTTCCAATATACATATCTTTATTCCAGATTTTTTGGGATTTTCTCTCCCTGTTTCTATGAAATAAAAATATTAGTATTATTTCAATATATCTTTATAAGGATAAACCAGATAGTTTGCCCCAAAATGTCATAAAGAATATGTGTTCTGTACATAGAAATTCCCAAAAAAAAAACTGTAATAATGAATCTACCACCTCCTGGATCAACCTACAGACAGTATTTATACATAACAAATTTTAAGAAATAAATTATTCCCAAAGATTATTTTTTTGAATTGGAAAAACAGAATAAATGCATGAATTTGAGATATGAAGTATTTCAAAACACAAAAGCATTATGCAAATTGAAATTGTGTCTGTGTATATTTTTGAGCATACTAATATAAACATTGAAAACTATTTTCAATTAAGATATTTTCATCTCTAAATCAATATAGCAAATTTGATTTCTGTTCATTTCTTATTTTGTCATGTCTTTTGGGGATGATCCTTCTTTTTTGCATTATTCATAATTCATTCATCAAGTTTATTAAGGGATACTGTGAAGGTATATTATGGGTCCTAATATTTTTGTAGATTCAGAAAGACATTTTGGAAATTCTAAATTCTCAGCTTGTGATAGCAAGAAAGATGCTACATTGGAAGATTATTTTTTTGAATTGGAAAAACAGATGGAAAATAACTTAGTTTCCAGGGATACCATCAGTAGAAATTTGGTATCTGAAAAAGGTAATAATTGATATACATATAATAAATAAATAATAAATATTGCTCCAAAAAAAAATATGTATCCTCCAAAATGGCGCCTGGGCGCTATTTTGGAAGATTTTTTTAAATGGAGTGGGGGGTCGAAAGATACCTCGATTGAAAGGTCTTTCGATTCTCTACAACTTCAGAATCTCAGACGAAAATATTCATCCAAAACAAAATGGCGGATGATAACGTTTGAAATCTCACACCAGAATTCTTTCGACTAGATGGCTATTAAATTGCTCGCATGTGATCTTCAAATCTCTATTGGCGTATAGAAGAGTTCTTTATCTATGAAGATATCGATAGGAAGCCATTTTGAAGAGAATAACATGGTTGTCAATCATACCGTTGCTCGATTGTATTTCCAAATTCTATAAAATTTTTGAATAATTCATTCAAAATTAAGAACAATGGTTATTTCACATGAATGAATGAAAATTAAATGAAGACACGATTCGGAAATTCCCTCCATTCCAAATTTTCGCATCCTCGATATTTGAAATTCGAACTCTAGAATGTGCAGGCTGGAAACACTGTCTTCACTTTAATATAGCCATCTAGTGCTTCTGGAATCCCTATGATTGGTGAAAAGAGATTTTTGTCCTAGAATCTATTTCAACTGAATTGTGTTTTTTAATTAGGCCTAATCTTTGGACAACTTGGAGCATTGTATATGTATAATTTAATTTCACCGTTCTTCCAACTTCCAAGTATAAATGAAGATGTACAATAAGAAAAAACAATGAAAGTCTCAAAGTCTGTCGACCACGAGACTTTCATTGTTTTTCTTATTAAAAAATCAATTGGACCACTTTGAGAAATATGGATAATTTCCATGATTTGAAAGTTGTACAATGTCTTTTGGGAAACTGCATTTACAAAAAAACTTAGGTGTTGTATTTGTCCTTTCAGAATTTTTATCTGAGGTAGTGGAAATTCTACTATATATTCTTTTGCCTGATGAGGATTTTCAGTGCAAACCATTGAGATATCTTCTGAGAGAAATATTTATCAACTATGTTATCCTGCCTCTGTTCAATTTGGTTTCTGATCCTGACTATATAAATCAGGCTTTTATTTGGCTGGTAAGATACCAATGAAAAATATGTGCCATTATCTTCTCTTCTATTTGGAGATTATTAACTAGTTTTTCAGTGTCTACGGGATAACCAGCTACCAAGTGATATTTTTTTAACGACTCTTAGATTAACAGATAACTGTGATGAACTGAAAAGTACCAAAGACTTGGTCTCCCAAGAAATACACTCTTTGGTAAGGAAAATGCTGCACTTTTACTTGTACTGAATGGAATTTTCTATTTATATTTCAGAGGTCTAGAGATTCAGGGGGAGACAGTGATCTTTCTGTCAGACAGCAGCTGAATAGTTTACATTATGTATTGAAACTGATTGATAACAGGTTATCAAAAATGGAAAACATGGACAGTTTGGGTAAAATCTATGAAGGTGTGACTCTTTCTTCATGAGTGCCTGTGCTTTTTGTAGATGGACATTCATCTTTGGAGAACATTCAGCTGGAGAACATTAAAAAAATTGACCTCAGCCTGGACCAAATCTTAAAAAACAACATAGCATTATCTTATTTTATTGATTTTGTTGCTAGTCAAGGAAAACAGGTGGACCTGTTTTTCTATTTAAATGTAGAAGGTAATTAATATTTCTATTTCTTTCTGAAAGCCTTTATAAAACCCCAAAATATCTCAAAGTGGAACATTGGAACTACACTCATCAAAATAATTGTTCCACTCTATATTTATTCCCGTTATGACATCCAGATTGATGGATTGAACAGCTTATTATGATGATGTAATAAACAAAACTCTTCAATAATGGTTTACAAATTGAATCTAAACATTTTTTGGATAATGGTAGAGTGGAAACCACTGATTATTTGAATCTAAATCATCGTGAGCTCTATCAAAAAACTACCAGTAACAAAAGATTGAATTTTTTCGTTCAAACTAAGACGATAAAAAAATAAATAAAAACATGTCCATGGATGAACAGAAGATGGTGTAGAAACTCCTATCAAATCCCATCTACTGTTTTTCGGTCAAAGTTCTTGACCTACGGCCTACTTGACAAAAGGATTCGTTTCAATATCGCTTAATATAGGTCGCATTTTACCCATTAGATGGCGAAATCTCAACCAAAATTCAAGGTTGGTAGAACTGATGATGATTAAAATTCCACAAAATTACAGTTTTGTACTTACAAATTTAATCTCATTTAATTTGAGGTTATGTTATGAATGTTATGCAATGCCCTCAATATAAGTTCATTGATGTTATGATATTATTATTTCTGGTAAAAGCCGTGTGTAAGCGCCGTTTTCTGTCATGAAAGAAATCTGTAAAAAGTGTCGCCATCTTGCGGAGAGAACTGAGAACTAATATGCGATTATTGCTGAATCTGCCGTGTGATTACATCATATTCTATCCAACTTGCTCATGGGTGTGACTAGTGTGACGTATTAGTACACGCCTATTGTCCTTGAGCTGACCAATCACACAGCGTCACATGAATGACAAGATATCAGTGAGTGAATGAGAGAGAAAGAGAGAGAGAGAGCTACAGTTCTGGCTTTTTAAGATATCCAATGAAATATATGCTGATTTCAAAACACTATAGATGTGATTCCCTTCATTTTTAACTAATAATATTGCTGGTACATTTGATGTAAATCATGATTTATTGATTGAAAGAGGTTTTTACGGATTTCATCCCTCAGACGACTGAATTTAGGATCGCAGCGCCAAAATGGCCGGTTGTGAACTATACGAAAGTACATTGTTTTGAAATGGTTCATATGCTTGTGTGTATCATTTAGATTTTTTTGGGAGTGGTTTGAGCTAAGAAAACTTCACTTTTGACTGTGTGTCACTACTTCATATACAAATGCCCCAATTTCAGGTTACGTTAGTTTGCATTTCGTTCCTATTCAGTACTGAAATTTTGCAAAACAAGTGGAGTGAATATGATGTTGATGTTCGCAGAGTGGGTATTTGCGTTGTATATATTATAGTCGAATTATCTATTTACATGTGTTGATATGAAGAAGAAACAGTCCTCTAAGTTGGATATACAGGGTGTAAATTTGAAAACTTCCAATGCGAATATCTCGCGAAAGAAGAAAGTTAGAAAAACGCCGTTTGGCAAACATGCTAAAGAGTTAAGGGGAACTAGAACCACCATATTTCGGTCAAGGGATGAGTCACCCCGTCGGCGCGACACACCCCAACTTTGAAATGTCTAATGGCACTACCTTTTTTGTGATGCCTCAAATGAACAGTCTCAGTCAGTTGTATTCACCTGTACAAGACTTTTTTTCCACCCACTACAGGGTGTACGAAAAATATAAAGTCGAATAAAATAAAATGAATTGTGTTAAAAGGATATTTTCTTTGATCAGATATTCAAAATGCATTCCATTCTGTTGTAAGCAATAGTATAATCGATGTTCAAATGCCATTCTAACATTTTGGAACAATTCTCTTGGAATATATAGGCATTATTCTGCATTTTATTTTATTCGACTCTATGTTTTCCGTTCACCCCTGTAGTGGGTGGAAAATAAGTCTTGTACAGGTGAATACTACTGACTGAGACCGTTCATTTGAGGTTTCACAAAAGAGGTAGTGCCATTTGACATTTCAAAGGATGGAGTGTGTCGCGCCGACGGGGTGACTCATCCCTTTACTGAAGTATGGTGGGTTCTAGTTCCCCCTAACTCTGTAGCATTTGTGCCAAACGGCGTTTTCCTAACTGTTTTATTTAGCTAGATATTCGCATTGAAAATTTTCAAATTTAGACCCTCGAATTAATGTTTTTCGTACACCCTCCCAATCAGCCAAAGTACGTCTTAAAGGCGTCTTTAAGACGTACATGTCGGGACATAAGTACGTCTTAAAGACGTACATATTACGCCCCAAGAGACGTCTTTAAGACGTCTTTAAAACGTACATTTTCCACTAATATGTACGTCTTAAAGACGTCTTTTTTAGGTGTTTTTGGTCCATGACCTCAAATGATCTTTCAAATTACGGAAAAATCACATAGTTTCAGTTAATTTTCACCTGTGCACTGAGTTAGCAACAAGTGCAGACAAGCAAAAAAAAGGGAAATAAACGGACTACATCAAACAGTAGACACAAGCGGTCACCCATTCAAGTACTAACCGCGCTCTTTGTTGCTTGACTTCGATGATCATACCATACTCACTTCTTCTGTTACTCTGTTTATTGTACCTCCTCGCGTACTAGGTCGCCTACTAGGTTTTCATTTAGATCGACAATGCTCTGTTTGTTCTATATATCACATAACAAGCAATTCGTTGTGATATTATTATTGAATGGAAAAAACAGAATGGCGGATCCAATATACGGCGGACGATTTTCTCATTGATTATGTTCCGATTCGAATCAAAATTCAATATTCAAGATGGTGAATCCAATGTGGCATATGGTTTTCTGATTATGGTCTGATCTGATTCAAAATTGGCATCTGAATTATTTCGGGATCAGAGATTATAATTCCTTGTGTCGAAAATGAAAAATCCAAGATGTCGGCTTCAAAATGGCGGGACGAGTTTTGTGATTATAGTCCGATTTTATTCAAAATTGATTACTATGGGACTTTTTGGGGTCGGAGAATATGATTTTTTTGTAAAAATTCGAGAATCTAACACGAAGGCTCCAAAATGTCGGACGAAAAAATTCAAAAACATCACTTTTGTTGAAAATAAGAAGAAACTGAACAATTGAAAATAAAAAACGTGAAGAGATGACATTTTGTTTTTCTTCAGAAAATAACTTACATTATTGTTCTATAAGTCGAATTGACGTACTGGAATGTACGTCTTTGAGACGTCTTTTATACGACATGGGAGGAACGACGTGGATACGACCTAAAATGTACGTCTTAAAGACGTAAATTCGTGTACGTCTTCAAGATGTACATGAATTTACATCTTAAAGACGTACTTTATACGTCCCTGGACGTAAAGACGTAAGTAAGTCGTAAAATGTACGTCTTTAAGATGTCTGGTGCTGATTGGGCTGTAGTGGGTGGAAAAAAAAGTCTTGTACAGGTGAATACTACTGACTGAGACCGTTCATTTGAGGTATCACAAAAGAGGTAGTGCCATTTTGACATTTCAAAGTTGGGGTGTGTTGCGCTGACAGGGTGACTCATCCCTTCACTGAAATATGGTGGTTCTAGTTCCCCTTAACTCTTTAGCATTTTTGCCAAGCGGCGTTTTTCTAACTTTTTTATTTCGCGAGATATTCGCATTGAAAGTTTTCAAATTTACACCCTTTATGTGCGAATAATTGATCTACCTCTAGTAGGAAAAATTGAACATTATATGTGCTTTGCTTTTGAGTAAGAATTTCATTTTTTCAATTTCCTTCTGTAACCACTTCTGGGAATATATTGAAAGAATATAATGCAACTGAATTCAATCAGAGAATATCTTTCACTTATACACTTATTGAAATCATTATTATCTGTGAAATGCAGAAAACTTTCATGAATAACATGTGAAACACAAGCAATAATGATTCGAGATACGACTCTACTGAAGAATTCAAACTCGAAAATATATCACAATGCATGACTACAAAAATGTCGATCATATGCATGGAAGCTGGAATGTAAACGAACATTCAATGTACTTTCCATTGGTTACTTGAATATCCGCAAGAGGGCGTATCGCTTATTTTGAATCGCCTATAGAATACTTTTAGAATTAATAAATAACTACAAAAAATTGAACATATTATAACTGCATTGACGGTGATCCTTTCAATCATCCAATTTTTCCAACCCAGGTTGGAAAGTATCGGTGGAACAGCAGCTCTCGGACCTCCATCTCAACAAAATGGTGAAAGGATCTGTAGATAACTCGTCCACCGTGTACGACACCATCCGATCGACAGCCTCCAGCATCTACGAACAGTACCTGGGAGACAGGTACGTAGAGATAGCGATATTTCATTGATAGCATTGATGAGTAAAGTTTCATATCAGTCTGGGTGAATTTATTATATTTATTGAAACTGAAACCTGCGATGAAACGCCACTGAACAATTTCGGGATTCCCTGACAATGCCGGCCACCTGCAACTGCCAGTGTGTAATGATAGCGGAGGGCGTTCGACCGCCTTCAATATTTTATGTTGTCGGCAATCGAGTTGGGAATTTACTCTATAAAATACCCTATACTGGGTGTTGAATAGTGTCGATATGAGCTTGCTTGTACTTCGCCGAAATATTGTGATTGACACTGATGTACAGTATATGAACATTTGCAGGAGTGTTTGCAATTTTCAAGCATTTTTGCGATTTTTGCAATTTTCAGGCATTTTTGCGATTTTTGCAATTATCAGGAATTAGAAATTTTTACAATTTTCCGGAATTTTTGCAATTTCCAGGAATTTTTGCGATTTTTGCAATTTTCAGGAATTTTTGCAATTTTTGCAATTTTCAGGAATTTTTGCAATTTTTTCAATTTTCAGAAATTTTTACAATTCTCAGGCATTTTCGCGATTTTTGAAATTTTCAGGCATTTTTGCGATTTTTCAAATTTCAGGATTTTTGCAATTTTCAGGCATTTTGCGATTTTTTCAATTTTCAGGCATTTTGCGATTTTTTCAATATTCAGGAATTTTGCAATTTTCAGGCATTTTTGCGATTTTTGCAATTTTCAGTCATTTTTGCGATTTTTGCAATTTTCAGGAATTTTTGCAATTTTTGCTTTTTCTGCAATTTTTGCAATTTTCAGGAATTTTTGCAATTTTCAGGAATTTTTGCAACTTTTGCTATTTCTGCAATTTTCAGGCATTTGCGATTTTTTCAATTTTCAGAAATTTTTGCAAG